TAATAACCTAGGTGACCTGAGGATTACAGTGAGGAATACCCCGCCGAGTCAAACTCCTCGGGCTCCTCACTCCTCCATGACACTGCAACCAGTGGAGCTTCCAAGAGGGCGTGCTGATCCGCCTTGTGTGGCACCAGTCGTCACTTTTGGGGATCCCCCAGAGGACCAGATGTCGGTCGCTGCGTCGGAGGGTGAGTGTATGTCCTCCGGGGATGAAGATTCGGCTGCGTTGCCCCCTTTGGGTGTGGCAGGGTTGCCTGAGTCAGACCCAGAGATGGCTGCTATGCTTTCCCGGGCCGCCGCAAGTGTCGGGCTCGAGGGGAACCCTCCACCGTGTCCCGAAACCTTGCGGCTGGACGATTGGTTTCTTGGGGTGGCCCGTGCTGGTTCTCAGCACTCCGCTCCAGTACCTTTCTTTCCGGAGGTGCATGAAGAGGTGACTAAACCGTGGACGGCACCTTTTTCTGCCCGAAGCCGGTCTGGTCCTTCTTCCTCCCTCACTACCCTCGATGGCGAGGCAGCAGGCAGCAGTGTGTGGGTCGAGGACGCCACCTGACCTTCTCTCACACCCTCTGCCCCACCCTGGAATTTGGTAAGTGTTGCGCAGCAGACGCAGACTCCACTTCGGCCGCCTCAGTGCCTCCCGAGTCGAGTGCCTGTGTTCCTCCTGTGATCCTCGCTGCCCACCCCGGGTACATCTGTGGCTCCGTTGGTCCCGCTTGCACGGTGTCTGGGAGCCTGGCTAGCGCTCCCCAGCCAGTCTCGCTGGCTCATCCGTAACATCAGACTCGGCTATGCGATTCAGTTCGCCTGGCGTCCCCCCCCCAAATTTAGGGGCATCCACTTCACAATGCCCCTGTCTTACGGACGGAGATCGATGTCCTACTGGTGAAGAACGCGATCGAGCCGGTCCCTCCAGCCAATATGAAGGCAGGGTTTTACAGCCCCTTCTTAATTGTGCCCAAGAAAGGTGGTGGGTTACGGCCAATTTTGGACCTGCGAACCTTGAACCGGGCCTTGCACAAGCTCCCGTTCAAGATGTTAACGCAAAAACGCATTTTCGTGTGCATCCTTCCCCGAGATTGGTTTGCAGCAATCGACCTGAAGGACGCGTACTTTCATGTCTCGATTCTCCCTCGACACAGGCCGTTCCTACGGTTTGCGTTCGATGGTCGGGCTTATCAGTACAAGGTCCTACCCTTCGGGTTGTCCCTGTCACCTCGCGTCATTACGAAGGTCGCGGAGGCAGCCATTGTTCCACTCAGAGAACGCGGCATTCGCATTCTCAACTATCTCGACGACTGGCTGATACTGGCACAGTCTCAGGACCAGTTGTGCGAACACAGGGACATGGTGCTCCGTCACCTCAGCCAGTTGACTTTGGGTCAACTGGGCAAATAGCAAACTCTCCCCTGTGCAGAGGATCTCTTTTCTCGGTATGGAGTTGGACTCGGTCAACCGGACAGCGCGACTCGCAGAGGAGCGCGTCCAGTCAGTGTTGAACTGCTTGAATTCGTTGAATTCGAAATTTCTACGGGCGGGGGTCCCCCTAGAACAAGTGTCCAGGCATGCTGTGGTGTTCACGGATGCCTCGGCCACGGACTGGGGGGCCACGTACAACAAGCATGCAGTGTCGGGTCTGTGGATGGGGCCTCAACTGCATTGGCACATCAACTGCCTCGAGTTCCTAGCAGTACGTCTTGCGCTGGGCTGCCTCAAAGGGCTGCTACATGGCAAGCACGTGCTGGTCCGTATGGACAATACTGTGACCGTTGCGTACATCAACCGCCAGGGTAGTCTACACTCCCGTCGCATGTCGCAACTCGCCCGCCATCTCCTCCTCTGGAGTCAGAAGCATCTGAGGTCGCTTCGGGCCATTCACATCCCTGGCATGCTCAATCGTGCAGCTGACGAGCTCTCACAACAGCCTGCGCTTCCGGGAGAGTGGCGGCTCCATCCCCAGGTGGTCCAGCTGATTTGGGACCTCTTTGGAGCCGCACAGATAGACCTGTTTGCCTCTCCGGACTCGACCCATTGCCAGCTGTTTTATTCCCTGACCGGGGGCACCCTCGGCACGGATGCACTGGTGCACAGCTGGCCCCAGGGTCTTCGCAAATATGCGTTTCCCCCAGTGAGCCTTCTCGCACAGACACTGTGCAAAGTTAGGGAGGACAAGGAGCAGGTCCTGGTAGTTGTGCCATACTGGCCTAACCGGACTTGGTTCTCGGAACTTATGCTCCTCGCGACAGCCCCTCCTTGCTTTCGCAGAGATGGGGCACCCTATGGCCCCCGCGTCCAGACCTCTGGAAACTTCATGTCTGGTCCCTGGACGGGACGCGGAGGTTCTAGGTGACCTACCCCAATCAGTGGTAGACACCATCACTTCCACTAGAGCGCCCTCTACGAGGTGCCTCTATGCTTTGAATTGGAACCTGTTCGTTGATTGGTGTTCTTCCCACCGGTAAGACCCCCAAAGATGTCTTGTCAGAGTCGTGCTTTCCTTCCTGCAAGAGGGGTTGGAGCGAAGGCTGTCTCCCTCCACCCTGAAAGTGTATGTTGCCGCACATCACAATGCAGTTGATGGTAAGTCTCTTGGTAAGCACGACCTGGTCGTCAGGTTCCTTAGAGGGGCGAGGAGGTTGAACCCTCCTCGTCCTACCTCGGTACCCTCTTGGGACCTGTCTCTGGTGCTCACGGCACTGCAGAGACCTCCCTTTGAACCTTTGCAGTCAGCTGAGTTGAAAATTCTGTCACTAAAGACAGTTCTCCTGACTGCATTGGCTTCCATCAAGAGGGCAGGGGACCTGCAGGCATTTTCGGTCGACGAATCGTGCCTAGAATTCGGGCGGGCCAACTCTCATGTTGTCCTGAGACCCTGGCCTGGATATGTGCCCAAGGTTCCTACCACTCCCTTCAGGGACCAGGTAGTGAGCCTGCAATCACTGCCCTCGGAGGAGGCAGACCCAGCCCTAGCTTTTCTTTGTCCTGTCTGCGCTCTGCGGCTGTACGTGGACAGAACACAAAGTTTCAGGACCTCAGACCAGCTCTTTGTCTGTTATGGAGGCCAGCAGAAGGGAAAGGCTGTCTCCAAACAGAGGTTAGCCCACTGGATAGTGGATGCTATTGTCTTGACGTACCAATCCCAAGACGTGCCTTGCCCACTCGGGTTGCGAGCACACTCAACTAGAAGTGTTGCTTCCTCCTGGCCGCTGACTCAAGGCGCCTCGCTGACAGATATTTGTAGAGCTGCGGGCTGGGCGACATCTAACACGTTCGCTAGATTCTATAGCCTTCGTGTAGAGCCGGCATCTTCCTGTGTACTCGCCCCCAGTGGCCAGTAGCGTGAAGGACCCGTTCTAAGTGTCGGCTTGCAATGTCACTCCCGCCCGCTGGGCCGGATACATGCGTCTATTGCTCCAGTAGAGTTCCCCAGAAATGGCTAACCCTGTGAGTTCCTCCATCACTCCCCGGCAGTCAGAAGTGGCGGAGCGTCTGACGCCAGGCCTACACTCATATGCGTTGTGGAACCTGTGTTAGGCTGGGTGTCCATATGTAGTGGTCCCTACGGCGCATCCATATGTGCATTCTTCCACGGTAAGGCTACCCAGTCCGGCTAGCCTGTGTCTTCCCTCAACAGAGCCCGCTCTGTCGTCTCTGTTGGTGTTCTTTCCCCCCTAGAACTAGGCTGGAACCACCCCAGAGACTTCCATATGTTGTACTACCCTAACTGGCTAGTCCATAGGTGTAACCGCCAAATTTTACTTTCCTACGGGCAGGATGTGGCCTCCGCAGCATCCCCTTCCCTTCTAGGGCACGCTTTCCCAGCGTTATCCAAATAGTCACACTGAGTGGGTCTTGCGGAACAGCAGTGACTGACCTTCTCTGCTTAGAGCCCTGACTCCCGCTCCAACAGTTGGGGGCGGTTCAGGAGTCTCAAGCAGAGCGCTGGAAGGGCCAGCGTGCGGTCCAGGAGTCTCAAGCAGAGTGCTGGAAGGGCCAGCGACAGTGGCGTGTTGGTAGATATCCCCAATTCGTCGGTCAGTTCCGACGTATGTCCAACGTGACCAACTGAAAGGGAATGTCTTGGTTACGTATGTAACCCTCGTTCCCTGAAGGAGGGAATGGAGACGTACGTCCCGTCGCAACAGTCGTGGTACCTCCGTAAGTAGATTGGTCTCCCAAAGCGATCCCCAATTCGTCGGTCAGTTCCGACGTACGTCTCCGTTCTCTCCTTTAGGGAACGAGGGTTACATACGTAACCGAGATGCTTTCTTTCTTTCTTTTTTATATATTTTGAAGCAAATATAATGTAATAGTTTGATACCAATTACATTTGTTTTTGATGAAAACTTTTTGCTTAATATTCTTCCTTTATTATGTGTCCTTGTATCGAACACAGACTTTTATGTTATTTTGTCAGTAGAGATCATACTGTTAATCATCTCATGGGGCCCAGCATCAGCCATAAAACCATAATGTCTGGGATTATAGCCGTATTGCTCATTTGCACTACTTTTTTTCATAGACCAACTAGGTTTAAGGTAACAGAATTTCACGGTCACATCAGCAGATAGTAGACATCTGTTTTGCTCGGGGAGCAGCATTGGTCTTTATGTGACTAGATAATCCATTCATTAAGGATAATAGCACTGCAATGAGACCATTGAACTGGAGATGTTAAGAGACAACAGCTTGTCCCTAAGGATGTAATTGCATTCCAGATTGGGGCAGTAAAGCACCTAAATACCTGCTGGCCTTTGTTTTCCGATCAAAGTTGTTTGACTTGAGGGGATCGAGTAAGTGTTGGGTGGGGTTATGACAGGATGGAACGGTCCAGCGTGAGCCGTCCAACATGCCACCATAAATTGGGGTCACGTCTCATGGGCTAATCAGACGTTCGCCAGACCTGAGAGAGGTTAACAGAAGATACAGAGGACCTTAGAGAGACAGAAGGAAAACATAAGAGCAGAACAGAAGGAGCCGCGCTCACTGAAGCCACTATGAGAGGTTTTCACTGTCCTGCTCTGCTGCTGCTGTGGGCTGTGTGTAGCATGTCAGACGTGCAGGCTGACGTGAGGACAGTCAAGCTGTGTGGCCGAGAGTTCATCCGTGCCGTCGTCTACACATGTGGTGGCTCCAGGTGGAGGAGGTTCAGCAGTCCGCAGGATATGGAAGGTGAGTTTGCTATAGCAGAGATTCATGCTAATTATGAAAACATAATGTGTCAAATGCTGGTGTCAGTGTTGGGCTTTAGAGCAAATCTAGTTAGTTTATATATGAAATAAAGTTGTTTTCTACCCTTTTAAAATGTATTACATTAAACCTCTTTCTATATCAAATCAATTGTAGTTATCTATTTTAATAATATGAATACATTTACATTTAGTCATTTAGCAGACGCTTTTATCTAAAGCGACTTACAAATGAGGACAATGGAAGCAATCCAAATCAACAAAAGAGCAATATGCAAGTGCTATGACAAGTCTCAAATCAGTAGAATTTTTTTATATGTTAATTGTTCTAAAATAATAATTGTATGTGCATGTGAGTACTGTATATTTTATTAATGATATATTATTTATTCTGCCAACAGCCCTGTCATCCTCTAGAAGTTATTTTGATTCATTTTTAATAGAATCTAGATTAAGAAGTTTTAAACAATTAAAATTTTTTGCAATTAAGACTATATAAAAAAAGAGAGATGGAAAGTATTTAAAAATACTGAATAATATATAAATAAATATATTATAATACACCATATTATATAAATATATATATATATATATATAATATATATATATATATATATATATATAAATAAATAATAAACTGTTATATCTACACATATATATTTATATATATGGAAAATAAACTATAAAACAATGAGAAAATACGTTCTCGTTTGAACAAGCATGACCAACTAGAATGTTTTTTTGTTTGTTTTTGTTTTCACTGTTTATTTGACATTTACATTGTTTTCTCTAAACACTGTTCTATAAGTTGCTATGAAACAAAAGTTTTTGCAAATAACCTATGATTGTATAAATATCTGTGCACCTCTTACTCTTTCTTACCCTTCAAGTCTGATGATATTTAACGGAGCACTGCTTTAATTGTATCTGTGAGAACAAGTCTCCTCCAGTCAACAGATAAACAACGTCTGGTGATATTACATTCCCATTAGACTGACACAAGTTGAGTTTAAGCAGAAAAACCTGTGTATACCCGTGTTATTTTCTCCTGCCATCACGTCACTTCAGACCTGATTATATGTGTTATAGGCTTCAAAATATTAGTACAAATGTTAACTTTGTATTTTGTGTTTGTCATTGCACAGGGTTTTTTAATGGAGATCTAAGCAGTGCTGAGGATCTTAGCGAGAGTCTGGGATCTGACCTGGCCAGGCGAGACCTGAACAATGTTTGTTGTCAGTTTGACTGCAAGAAAAGTGACCTCACGTTGCTCTGCTGAGAAATGAAGCTGTGTTTTTCTATTTGTCTCACCATGTTTTCTTCCACATCGAGTCCAAATGAATATGAACACTTCTCAAGTGTACTCTAAGTGTACAGTCAGTTGTAATTCATTTAACAGCTTAATTTGCCAGTAGATGATGCTAATTTACATAAAAAGCATGTCTAATTTGGGATTAGATAATTGTGCTACACGTGTATTCTAAGATGCACCATTTAAGAGGGTAAATATCAAGTCACCAACAGCAGTGAAACGGCATAATGACGTGCACAGCAGTGATCATGCATTTAAAGTGTTTCATTCTTGCTTGTATTTTGCAAACTTTGTCAATAAACATTATTGCATATGCATCAAAGGTGTTTATTTTCTCCCATAAATGCTGTTAAACCAATTTGGACCAAACTGAGTAATAATATATAATTATATTAAAATATTCTATATTAAATGATTAATTAAATAATATTATTACATAATACAGACGAGCATTTCAGGCATAATATTTTAGAATAATATTAATTGATAAACTTTAAACATAACACAATACATCCACTTATCAGGCTTATATGTTTTATTGTTTTGGAAAGAGCAAAGTAACCGCTCAGATCTTTGTTAACATTTTTTTGTACAAACACAGCTTGCACATGTTGCTGGGAAGAGATGATTTAGTTACCAGACAGCACACACACACACACACACACACACTCACAAACTCTCTCTCTTACACACACACACACTAATGCAATTCAACATTCACACACAGCTCCACTTACATCTAAACTGACGTGAGTTCTCATTTCTATTGCGCATCTGAGTGACGTTTCACTTTAGACCATAGACATACGGATTAAGCACTACACAGAATTAAATTCATAGTTTTTTTTCCTTTCAGCTGACAGACTCCAAATTGTTCTTCGAAAAAACCCTTTAGCTACAGTGCTCAGAAAATACGCAATGCAGTGTTAACGGATGGCGACGCTCATCCATAACGTTAAATGTGGATGGAAACCTATGAATCACAAAGCACCAGTATATTCTTCTCCAAACCATCACGACGTCTACATCAGACACTCAAAGATGTAACCAAAATGTTTGTTCTTGACGTTGAACATCTGGGAAGTTAAACACTGTTTTTTTTTTTTTCCACAAGAAACAATATTTTTCACTTTATTCATAGATTTAAACATTTAAAAAATATGCAGCTTATTTTCTCTTAAAAGGACAATTCTGGAGATACACGTACAAACGAAAAGAAAAGAAAAGAAAAAGCGATTTGGTAATTTAACCACTCAAGAACCTCGTCATCTCACAGAGACCGTTACCATTTGCAAAATAAAGATGTTCTGAAGCGCAGGGGCTCATGCTCAGGACACTCAATAACATGTGCTGCGGGGGAGTGGCTGGATACAAACACATCTGCGTGAATGATAAAAGAATTTACAATGTCCAAAAGCTGACAATCCATGTTGAACTAATTAGTGCTGCTATACATAACACTGTAATAACATTAAGCGTGACGCATCTAGGTAGATACAGTTTCGTTTTCTCTTTTAAATGTCACCCCCGACCCATATATAGCATCAATTTTCTGTTGCAGAGTTAAAAAAAATTATATCTGAAATGTAAAAATGATACCTCAGCATTATACTGTACACAGCTTACCCAACTACACAGATAACAAAAAGTCCAAAACTTCAAGGATCCTAAATTATGATACCATTCAAAGTCTATTCATATACAGTGTAACTTATTTCGTTTTTTTTATATATACACAACAAATCATGAATAAATAAAAATAGACTGATATACTCTGATGTCTAACACGGTTCCTTCAGGAACAACAGAAAGGCTATTTAACAATACAAGAAAACACCAAACGTCCTTCAAGATATATATTATCAACTGAAAACGACTTTTCTGTTCTTTTGTGAGTCTATTGCAAGCAGGAGTCTATTTTTCAAGCTGTGGCTTTCTAAAAACATAATTTCTATCGTTGTGCAATTAATGAACCTGACTGCACTGTGTAAATTAAAATGAGATATTCCTGAATACGCTTTTTAAAATAAGCTTGAGCTACACCAAAATCCGATGCAGACCTTATACTACATGCAACAGTATAGCGCCATCTTGTGGCAGAGGCTCAGTCCTCTTATAGACCGTACTAATTTGCTACCTTGTTCGAAAATGTGATACTTTTGACAAACTGAATGCATAGAGTAATAAAAACATCACATGTTCAGTATCACTTTTAGAGAAGGATACATTTCAGGTTCAGGTAGGCACAGCCAATAACACGGCGGACAGAACCTTACGAACAAACCCAGGCCGTAATACAGATGTTGCAAAGTGAATACAGTTCACAAATACAAGAAGTACACCCTAAAACGGTCCACATTTTATAATGCAACTCATATAATACTGCTGGAGTGTGTGTGAGGTCCACCTGTATTGTACATCTACAAAGGTTTATCCATAAGGTCAGGCAGGGGTCATGTCCTGTGTTTTAAATATTCAGAATTGGTCCAAAATATGCAGACTTGCATGGTGTTGTTTAGTTGTCTGCCATGTATTTTCCTATGATAAAAGCACAAATACAATTTTATGTTTTGAATAAATGCAGCGTAAAGATTTCTAGGCCATTACTGATCAAAACAGATGTCGCTTGCATAACTCACCTGCTGCAAACCTCTTCTTGACGAGGGAAAAACGATATCCAAGGCCAACCAGCTCAATGTCACAGCCTGCCAGAGTGCTGCCCTCACTGGTGAACTGCACTGCCACCGGAGCGGGTTTACTGGGACCCTCTGATAGCTGGAAACGGGCCAGCAGAGATCCCACACCTGAAGATAGAGGGAAAAAAAGGGTGGATGAAAAAGAGAAGCAATTCATTTATTACTAATTATTATAAGTGAATTATTATAAGTGTATATATACACACACAAGAATGAACCATGAATCTGACCTCCATTCTCAGACTTCTGAGAAATATCTGGAATCTTCCATAAGATTCTCTGCTGTTCTGCATTCCTATAAGCAGAGCAATAAAAAATATTAAATTATCTAGAAAGAATGTAAAAGAATGTTCAAATGCTCTTCTTCCACGTCTAGTACTATTCATAGTATCATTTTTCAAACTCCCAAACTAAAGTACAATCATAATGCTTCATTCTCACAATGACAGTCTGATTTTTGTAGACTAGTAGTCCATTAATAGAAGAATCTAGTTCATCTCTCACCAGGCAGCTGGGGGAAGCACAGCCTGCAGTTTGCTGACGCCTCCGTCCACAGGGATGAGGAACTGAACATTGTTGAGGGCGACAGGAGTGGTCATGGCACCCCCGTTGTATTTGTAGTCTATCCTCAGATCAGTACTGGTGGGCTCACACCTCCAGCTCACTGCTAGATTTAGAGGAGTGGACTGTAGACCCTTCGGTAACACCTGAGGCAGATTTGATAATGAAGTGTTAATGACATGGCCTCATTCTCATCAATCTCAAAAACAAGACTATGATTTAAATTAAATTCTAAAATTAATTCAATTAAGAATAACATTCAATTAATAATGATTAATAAATTAATTATTAATTTATGAAATTAAATCAATAATAAATAATTTAAAATAATGTAATATAAAAATAAAATAATTATTTTTACATTAAATTATAAATAATTAATAAATTACGATTAATAATAAATTATGAATTTAAATAAAAATATAAAATTACTAATGATTAATACATTAATTATTAATCATTTAATAAATGAAATGCTCATTTTATTATTAATAAAAAATATAAATCTTACATAAAAAAATACTTTGTTTTAAAGGGCATTTTTATTTACTCATATTAACCATTTCAGACCTTTACTAGGTCCTGAAGCTAAACCAACTAAGAACTACTTGCGTAAAATATGAAGCAAATACGATATAGATTTTCTAAAATCCAATGACTACAAGTGCTCTTATGTCTCTGTGGTCAGTGTTGCTTTGAGGTTCTCGCCTGATATTTCAGCATGTCTACATTGTAGTAAGTTGCTTGTGGTTTCTGTTCCGCCACCTTCTTTAAATGGGTCATCAGGTTTGGCATATTCACCCAGAACTCCTTTGAGTTGGGATTGGGCTGTGTGGTGTCACTGTAGGAAATTTGAAAGCGCATTCAATCTGCAAATCATACTCAAATAAGTAATAAAGAATTAGGCATTATCTGTTCTTCCTGTATATTCCTGTATGTACACCATTCAAAAGTTTGGGGTCAATATGTTTTTCTAATTACTTTATTCAGCAATTATGCACTAAATAAGAAATCCTTCTTAAGCAGCAAATCAGCATATTAGAATGATTTCTGGAGTGTGAGGCACTGAAGAAGGAGTAATGGCTGCTAAAAATTCAGCTTTGCCATGACAGGAATCAATTACATTTTCTAATTATTTTGAATTGTAATAATATTTCAAAATATTCACATTTTTACTGTATTTTTCATCAAATAATTGCAGCCTAGGGTGAGCATATAATACTTTGTATTAAACCCCAAACCTTTGAATGGCAGAGTCTAAAGCTTTTGCAAGATCAATAAATGATGGCATCCCCTCACTACTCCTACATAAGTGTGGAGATCACATATAATTAGTCATACAGTATGTGAGTCAGCCTCAGGAGTGATTCTGAAGTGAAATCTCACACTGAGATAATGCACTAAGTTATACTGAATTATTACCATAAGTTACAAATTCTCCATCCTTTACTAATCACTTTCAATACTAATTAGTCCATAAAAATGGATTCATAATATATTTCAGGCTAATGCATTATTTGTGTGACTAATAAAGAAATGTATACTTCTCACTAGTCAACAAATATGATGAGGTCTATGTGAAGGTTCTGTTGTAGTCGATGTTAGATGAATGTTATTACCAGCACAGTAACTGAGGGTTAGGAAGGACGTGTTCCAGACGACTGTAGTTGGTTATGCTGAATGTTAGCACAGCAGGCGAGGGGTTATTTGCAAAATGCCGTGTGATGCCTGCTGGGAAGGACAACACCATCTCTCCGGTGATCTTCACCACACACCTTAGAAAGTGACATTATTAGACACATACAGAAGTAAAGGCCTGGTGTGTAAAACAGTGTTAGAAACAAAGTGATCAATTAAACAAATTCATGGGGGCCTGTGAGGCCACAGAACAAGTTTTTTTTATAATAAACCTTACATAACTAAAGAGATCAAAGACTGTATTAACAGGAAGAAACTGGCTTTTCGCAGTCATGATTGTCTTGGAGTAAGAGCTGTTCAGAAGGGTTTGAATGGATTACTAAGAGATGCCAGGAAGAAACAAAGAACTCCTGGAGAACAAGCTGAGTATGTCTAATCCTAAACAGCTGTGGGACTCTGTATGAAATCTATAACTAATATGCAGTCTTTCAGAAATACTGTTTCTATTTTTGATGACTTACAGAAAGTGAATGATTTAAATGATTTTTATCTAAGATTTGAGAAGCATGGGCATATCTCTGGGAATAGTATTGGTGTAAGGGATTTTTCTCCAGATATCATCAAAGATAAGTTATTGATTCATCCGAAACAGATTAATTTCTATTTTAAACATATCTGTTCAAAGAAATCGGCAGGCCCGGATGGAATTTCTCCCTATATTGTTAAGTGTTGTGCAGATGAATTGACTCCAGCTTGGCTTCCAATATTTCAACAATCTTTGGATTCAGGTATTGTTCCCAGTTTGTGGAAAATAACATTGATTATACCCGTTACTAAGATAGCTAGGCCTTTAGAGAACAATGATTTTATACCGGTTGCATTAACATCTGTGATTATGAAATGTTTTGAAAAGCGTGTTGTAGCTATGTTGAAAGCAGTTTGCTAGTAATCTAGATCCCTTACAGTTTGCCTATAGACAGTGGTACTATTCTTTTTTAATAGATAGAACTCAATGTGTAAAGGTAAACAATCTTCTTTCATATCAAAAGAGCAGTAGTACAGGTGTTCCACAAGGCTGCGTCAGTTCACCCATTCTTTTTACACTTTTTACAAATGAATGCTTAAGTAGGCATTCACAAAGTGTTATTTTTAAATATTCAGATGACACAGCCATACTAAGTCTACTCTATGTGCATGACAATATTAGCACTATTTTCCAGTCAGAAATAAGTCAGTTTGTTGACTGGTGTGTTAAAAATGAGCTAATAATAAATACAAAGAAAACGGAAGATTGTATTTGATCCAAAATGTATAGGTGACCATCACCAAGTGGTTATACATGATCATAATAATATTCAGTTGTTCCACAAGGCTGCGTCAGTTCACCCATTCTTTTTACACTTTTTTACAAATGAATGCTTAAGTAGGCATTCACAAAGTGTTATTTTTAAATATTCAGATGACACAGCCATACTAAGTCTACTCTATGTGCATGACAATATTAGCACTATTTACCAGTCAGAAATAAGTCAGTTTGTTGACTGGTGTGATAAAAATGAGCTAATAATAAATACAAAGAAAACGGAAGAGATT